GAATATAAAAAGAAAGTATATTAAATAAAATTAAAGATGTTTTAAAAAAAAAATAAACAAAAAAAAAATTTTTTTTTAAATATTTTATTTCGTTGAATTTGATTGGTTTACCTGATGTTGACCTGAAAATTTATCTACCCAACCTGGATTTTTCAGGTTGGGTCAGGTCAGGTCACAGGTTGACTTGACCTGATTTAGAGCTCTATAATTCAGGATTAGAAATTAGTTAGTATTTGATTAAGTTTCGATTAAGTTAAATTGTGATGTTTATATCATAATATTATGAATTATGTTTATTAGTATTATATTACAGTTATTATAATTATACATGAAGTCGAAATGAAAGCCCAAAAAGTCGAAATGTTTCGACTTTGAAGGTCAAAGTCGAAATAAAAGTCGAAATGGTCAAAATTACATCATATCACATGATTTTTTATATATAGAAAAAACAAAAAAAAATAAAAGATATACGATATTGGTCAATATCGCACCGATTCGTGTAAAACAACTACTATTCGATTCCTCGCGACATGACGAATCCAATGAGCTAACAATCATTATTTTTGGATCAGCCCATCTCAAGATATTTGCGATCGTATTTCGAAATCCGAACTCCTTTATTTAAAGTAGAATTTATTGATTCATAATTTCAGCCGATAATACAATTGCAATTATCTCGAGATTGGATGATCCAAAATCAATGAATGTTAGCTCATTGGATCCGTTAAATCGCAAGGAATCTAATGGTAGTTATTTCATACGAAACGGTGCGATATTGACCGAGATCGTACATTTTTTGTTTATTGTTTTTCTTAATATAAAAAATCATGTGATATGACGTCATTTCGACTATTTCACGACTTTAGCCTTCAATGGTCGAAATGATTTCGACAAGGGTCTCGCCGCCCTATCTCAGTTGGTAACAACTGAGACCTATTGTAGGTTACACTGCAATTGACCCTAGTTCAGTTCCTCGCCAAGGCAGATCATAATAATTTAATTTACGGGATTTACCAGTTTGATTCTGAGAATGAATTTTATAGGATGCGTACAAACTATGTACATTGAAGATCATGAATTTGTAGAATATGATGACCCTGAGATGTCTATAAGGTGTAATGGTAGCTACCACCAATATGGTGTAAGTTCGCTTCATCTAGATCCATATCATACTGAAAACAGGTAGTGGTAATGGATATTCTCATCTATCGTGAATCAATTGAGTTTGGAACTGATAGAGGGGCTGGTTTATAATGAACAAGTGCCACATTATCTGCAAAGAGTACCCGTGAGGGTAGGTCAATAGTAGGCATTATATAACCTGGATTGAACAATAGTCGTAGGTTATAGGTGGTTGATATTGCACTGTTTTTAATCATCGTGGTGTCTATATCACAACTAGGGTTTGGAGGTCTGGATTCAATTCTTAGGGTGATTTTGATATATGACGAGGCAACTATGGTGTAGGCTATCATCTTAGGTTGTTCTTGACTTTCTTTCCAGTAATTGTGATAAATAGTGAATGATGGACAGATACCATATCTCTCTACCCTGAGGGTTCATTGGTTTGGCAGTCTACTCAGATATTGACACTCATTCACCTAGGTTTAACGCTAAGCCACACTGGTTTGAAATATAGCAAAGAGGGTTAATAGTGAAATTAAACGTGTTGTAAGACGTATCATTCTGTTGAAGGGTATGCATCCAAATATATTACACTTGTGCGTGCCTAGTAAAAGTATCAAAAAAATGATTTTGACCTTTTCAGATCATTTCGGATATCTGAAATGATCCATTTCGACTTCATGTATAGTTATAGTACCTGAAGAGATACTACTATCTATGCTCAAGACCAAATTAGTGAAGATATTATCTAATATTCTCAGAAGCGTATTGAAGTTTAGGATCAAGACTATTAGTGCTTACTCACTTTAAAGATACCATACAGAAAAGAAACTATATATTCGTGTGAGAACATGAAACCACTATGACCGATATAATACATTAAAAGCAGTCTATGCTATTGGAATGTGTACAACCTCAGATGATCTAAACTGCCAGTATTATTATCGTAAAGTAGCCTGTGATGAAAGATTACCTCTTTCAAGTTGAGCAGTATTAAGCAACTATTTATATGTATCATTAGTAAATGCTTATCTCTTCTGAGTATCTGTGGGTAATTATAACCCAATAAGCGATGATAAGTACAATAATTCACTAATTTTTTCAGCGCTTATGAGAGATGGTTCTTATATAGAATAAAAAGATATATAGTTCGCTTGAATTAGGCAAATTCCTTACCGCAGAGAGCAATGAATCTAGCGTATTTATGATTTGTATGTCAGTTTATTAGAAAGACGACCCTAATCCATTAAAACAAATTTATTTTGTTGATGTTAAAACTGCGCTAGATCTGCGTTGGATTACAGTTGTATGTGAAAACTAAACTAATTTACTAAAAGCATTTGTATTATGTTGGAAGAATCTAGCCCTAGATATACAAATAGGTTTTAAAGATTCACAATATGACTGGAGATTTATTGTAAAGAAAGCAAAAAAGTTAGGAATTCTCAAATGGATGTTTAATCAAATGTCATTAAAGACTTCAAGCCTCGAAAAAATTACAAAATGATAATAACAGTATAATGTAATAAAGGTTATTTCCATTCAAAGCATTTTAAAATCCCCAAATGCATAGCTATTGATGTCTGCTCTTGCTTTATAAAATTATATTCTAAGGCTGAAAAAAGTAGTTTAGAATTCTACTTAAATGAATGTGAGCTTGAAAGCAAATTGAACATACCCTTTCACTGTATATTCAAGTATTATAAAGAAGCATTAAAGGAGACAAATGCTATAATGGCCAAGCAGATGCGTGAAGTAGCTGAATATTTTATTATTAATACTATTAGCTGTCAGTGGTTAATAGTAAAGCGTAATGTAATTAATGAGTATAGGGAGATTGCAAGTATAGCCTTTTTATCATTATTTGATGTACATTACTTTGCAGGGGAGATAAAGGTATGTAATCTTTTGGTACCAGTATATGGATAGACAGGATCTTAACCAGTACTATTCAATATCAGCAAATGGAAACTGGAAAGTACCCTGATACATACGTCTTCTCACCAATAAAGGGACTTGAAAATAAACATCCAGTAACTGGCTTAGATTTCGCATCATTATATCCAAATCTTATTATGACTTATAACCTCTCACCTGATAAAATCATTTTATCTCGAAAATATGCTGAGTTTCTGAGAGACAGTAGCAAAACACTTAATAAAATTAATTTCAAATTCAATGGTAATGATATTCTTGCATAGTCTATAAGACATAATAACATTTCTGAAGAAAAGGGTCTTTATGCTACTATATTGGAATATTTATCTGCCAAACAGAATGAGATAAAGAAATACCCCACCTCTTTGAAAGAAAAAAAGGAAGACATGGAACTGGTAATAGGTTTAATTAGTAAAGATTTATTATTACCAAAAGAAATTGAATACATCTTAGCAAAAGCAGAGGAGAAAAAACATGCCAGCCTTTACAAAAATCTATACTATTTTATTAATAAAGAAAAACATGAATTCATGGCAGAATATGATTTAGTTTGATTAATTATTCTTACTTTGATGCATAACAAAATACTCTTAAAGTGTATATAAATTCATTTATGACACTGCTGGGAATAGTAAATTCACTTTCTTCTTACGTGAACTGGCTGGAGGTGTCACATCAGTTGGACAAAGAAATATCAAACTTGTTGCAGATTTCATTGAAAGTAAGGGTTTTCAGAAAAAATATGAAGATACTGATTCTTTATATCTAGTCTATCCAGAAGAATGCTTTAAGGAATGCGATGAGGAATATGACAGTGGTATTGGGTTTTCGAAAGAAGAATATTAGTCTCAAATGATAAAAATCTCTATGAAAAAAATGGAGAAACTTCGTGATGAAGTTAATAAATTTCTTGGGAAAGATAACAGATCACCTTATCTTAAAATGGTATATGAGAAAGTCTTATTTCCAGTAGTATTTACTGGGAAAAAAAAATACTATAGTATTACATGAAAATAAGCAAACTTTAATAAAGAGCTTCATTCAAGAAGTTGAAGTTATAAAGTAGAGGCAGTCAAGCCTTTTCCGCAAAGTAGAAAGATGTATTATAGATGAATCTATAAAGGTAGATAATTCATATACCTTACATCAAATTATAGAGAATGTTCTTATGGAAACTGTAAAGGATATTTCTCAGACTAATTTTAATAAAATAATTAAAACTGCTGTATAGAGGCCTGATAAAATAACAAAAGTGTCCAGCATTTTATTTTACGAATGCAAGATAGACACACCCGTAAAGAAGCAGACGCCAAACAGCTCATAAAAAGGGCTTAACACTTGAGCCTTATCTTTATTAAATTCTAGAACCATTTGAACGCTTTAAATATGTTATAGTTATCACAGAAGGTAGGTGACAAAATGGAGTATCCATAAGTAGCAAGATGACTTAGTAAAAAGATTGATATTAACTATTATCTGAAAAGTGTTGTTGGATTATGTGCACGTTTTATAAATTATGATGATAGATACCAGCTATCATCTGAAACTTTGCTAGAAGCATAAAAAAGTTAAAAGATAAGACCTCAAAGGGACCTGATAATGAAGTGGATGAAAATGCAATGGATGAAGACGAAGCAGATGAAAATGAAGTGAATGAAGATGTAGTATCAAATATGAAAGATTTCTTAGCGCAGAAATCAGCTGAAAAGTAGGTTAAATTATATATCAAAAATCTATATGAAGATCTGAAAAAAATGAAGTCATTATATCCCATTTATGGAAAGGAGCTTACATTTACGTGAAAATTTTATTTAATACTAATTATGCTGATAAAGTAGTAAAATGCTTGGATAATGTTAGTTATTACACTTCCTTTTTCAATACACTAGATGAGCAAGAGGATTCTCTGCTTAAAGGTTTCATTATTGCTCAAAGAAATTTCTAAAATCGATGTACTATACAAAGAAGAAATGTATAAACTAGTTACTAAGAATATTAAGCGCAAATCAAAAGTCATGACCATAGAACAATATTTATTATTTTATTCGAATGAGTGTAAATTACTAGCTGATTTGTGAAACATATGATGCAAAGTAGTTAGCTTAGAAATCACATGCTATCGAATATTATCGAAGTTATAGGATGATAAAAAAGATAATTCGTCTGAAGTAGATATAAATGAAATTATCAAATTATATTGTTAAGTATTCTAATAGAATGTGTCAATTTTAGCTAAGAAAACTTAGCTGTTAAGACGCTTCGCAAAATATTATTTACATATTTTTTTCTTGTGCAATAATACCAGCTAACTTCAATTTCTATCTTTGAACTTTCAGCCTCTGATCATATGGGAGCTGATCTATTAAAAGTGGGTTATGAGACATAGGAAATCATATGATCTGTATCTCAATTTTAATAGAATACTACCTATATAGCCCAGCCTCAGAAATATCCAGAGATGATAAAAAATAGTTCCAGTTAGGAGAATACTCAGTATTACTTTTTTCTTTTGGCTTAGTGCTTCATGAATTCCATATTTTTTTTCAACTATGAATCATATAATTGCAATCAGAAATAAGATAAATATGGAATATGCTAATATTAGCGATATTAAGGAATTTGCAACAATAAGGATAACTGATACTAGAGGCATTACTTAGGTTGATGGTATTACTTTTACACTACCTAATTGCTTTGCAACCCCTTCTCTCGAAATAAACTTTTCAGAATATGCTAGTCGACTATAAACAGATTGATTAGGTAGGGTATCTGCCTGGTTAATGGTCTCTTTTGTGATTTCACTTCTCAAAACTATCTCATCCTAAGGTAATAGCTTTTGCAAAGCCTCTAATATATTTTTTCTGGCAAAACTTTTATCAAGTTCCACAACTTTATCTTCAAGATCACGCTCATAGATAAGGAGTCTTAAATTGTCACTGATCCAATCTAATAGCTTTTGCAATGAATCATTTATAGGTGAAGATAGGGAATTAGAGAGATCTTTTGAGGATAAATCATTCTTTGCCTGTTTTAATTCAAGCCTGAGAGAATTGTTCTCTTTGGGATCAAATGAGTTTATTTGGGCTGGCTCCTCTAGTAGTTCTCCCACTATATGCGAATCATGTTCAAGTCCCAGATCTAGCAACTTACCTTCCAATTCAACTACCTTAGCTTCAAGAAAAAGTATCTTGACCTTATCAGTAAACAAAGCTTTCTGCGCCAAAGTTGCCTTTCTCTTTAGTATTTTAATATTGGATTTGAGTGACTTGATTTAGCAGAATATTTGGCTTCAAGTTTAGTATGAAACATCTATTCATAAGTAATTTGGAATGTAAGCTTAATATTTGCACTATTTAGCTGACTAACCTTCAGTATAGAATCGCTGGAACTCCTTTTCTCGCCCTGAATACTCCAAATTTTCAGCCTGCAACTTTTCATTGAAATCAATAATTTCAGAATTAAAATCGATAGTAGATCTTAATTTTTTTCGAGCCTTTACTCATATGTATTACCTAACTGATGTTCTCTATTTTTTATATCTTCCAGTGTATGCACATTGGACATAATATTGGCATAGTTACATAGCAGAAAAAATATACAAATAAAATTCTAAGATAATACAATCATCCTGTATATTTAGAATGATATATTCTTCTTATATAGAAGCTTTGCAATAGAAAGAAAGAAACTCTAAAAAAATTAAAATTTTACTTTCTAAGTTAATTATGATTTTTTTTGTAAAATAAGTCCAGATTTAACATTAACTCAAAAAAAAAATTTTTTTAGAGTTTTCTCCCTTTCTATTGCAAAGCTTCCACATGTCCTGTACATCCTGTATATCTTATTTATCTGAAATATATTCTTCCTGTATATCCTATATATCCTATATATTCAGAATAATACATTTTTTCTGTATATCTTATTTAATAAATTATTTTAGAATATTATATTAGATATAAAAAAAATATTGCTACCATGTTTAGGCAACGCATGAAATGTGATGCCCTTCCTTTTTTACCAACTGATTACAATTTTATTATGCAATGTGCTGAAAAAAAGCCTAGAGATTAAGTTTTAAAGAATTTAACAGATAAATTTCGCATATCACAAAATGTATTTATCAGTTTTGGAGAAGTGAAGAAAAAAATAGGGTTATGTGAAATCAACCAATTCATATGGCAACAGCTTCGCTTTCTAATATAAATGTTGTGGGCAAGCAGACTAAGCCAGAGATCTAAGACCAAAATATTTCTCTATTTGCAGAATTGGAAAAACAAATATGTGATGGTAAGATAGAGCCTAGCAAATCCATTAATTCAGTTTTAGAAGAAAATAGAAAAGTGTAAAAGACTGGAAGAAAGAAATCGAAGTCTGTTCAGATTTCTGAACCATCTAGTATTTAGATTCAGCCAATCCAAGCTTCAAAGAAGGATACAAATAATGTAAATTTAAATGCATCCTATGAGAAGATAGTTGAAAAAAATACAAAAATTATAGATATAAAAAAGAAGCATTATCTTGAAAATAACTCGCCTATTTCCTAAGAAGACTTCGTAAAACTCATTGATTTTCGCATTGAACTTAAGAGTATTAGAAAGCTTCTTCTCAAGTTCTTTTATATGAATTACTATATTCTTATAATTTATATGTTTTTTTTAATGTTCTATCCTTACTTAAGTCTTGTAAGTCTTGCAAAATTCTAACTGAAATTGAGGAATCATTACACTTAGAAGTAATATTCGTGCAATTCACCTCAAGCTTATTCTTAACCTTATATATATTAACTGGGATAAAAAATTCCTTACTATTACACTCTAGTCTCAATTCCTGTTTTGATACAAGTACATCATAATTATATTTATCAAAAAGTGTGTTTGACAAAATAAGCATTAGCTAAGGTTGCTAAACGAAATCAAGAGTTTAGACAAACGTCTAAATGGTAAAAGTAAAACTTGGTTAAATTATATTAAAATCTTATTAAAAAATCTGCGAAATTTAGAAAAAGGTAAAACTATATCAAGGCTTATAAAAATGGCGAAACTATATCAAACACTTAGTAAAAATTTAGCGAAACTAAAGGTTTTACCATTTTGCTAAATCCAAAATGAGTTTAGATAAGCAACCTTAGCATTGGCTTAGGGTATTCGATTACTGCAAAATCAGCATATATGATACATCTAGGAGTGAAATTTACTGTGACATTTTTAATAATTCTGAGGGATTCTATAGGAGTAGTAGCAATACCTCTAAGATCATGTCTTACTTTTGTATCAATTTTTAGCTTTGATCATTTAGAAATATCCTGAGATATGATCAGAAAATTAGCATCAGGATCGACTGTATCTACTGGAATCACTAGACACTTAATTTTACATTTAATAGTGACAACGTCTATAGCGGTTTCTTTTCTTTGGACAAAGTCTATCTCTATAGGATCATTGATAAACTCATTATCCTTAGAATCAGCTAGTGTTTTAGAATCACCATTTTGCGAGTAATAAAGGGTTGTAATATTGCTAAACTTTTCATTAAACATCTTCTCAATAATTTTTCAATAATTTTTTTTAAGCGGGATTGTTCATTCTATGTCAAGGTCTTTGAATTATGCTTTTCCTTCTTAGAAATAGGAACTAATGCTAAAGGAAGTATTTATGTATCTTTTACCTTACGAGACTTACGAGTCTTTGATTTCTTCTTCTGTAAGAAGATAATAGTATTATACTCTTTCTTTACTTTTTTTTATCCGAGATATATTAATATTAATTTTAGCATCAGCCTCAACCTAAGACTCTGATTCTGAAGAAGAACTCTTAGAGCTAGAAGAGCGATTCTTAGACTTTGATGAAGAAGTATTATTATCAGAAGAATCTGAATCTAATTGTTCGTCTACTCTAGCTAAATGTACTCAGTCACTTTTAGATTTTTTCTTCTACCTAGACTTATTTTTCGATTTCTTTTGCTTTATTTTAGAAGATTTGCAGGTAGATTTATAGTCACTTTTACACTGAGACGATTTCTTGATTACAAAAATTTGAGGATCTAAAAAGGTGAGTTTTTGAAAAGCTTAGCCTTAACATGAAAGGTATCATTAGTTCCTAACCTTTTTTCTAATTCCTCATTAATATAACTATTAAAAGCTGAACTATTACAGTATCCAGCAAAAAGAATAGTAGTAGTAATACCACATTTATTTTAGGTCATAATGTATTCAGTTTTTTGATTTAGGCCATAGTTTATATGACTAAATCAGACAATAGAACTCCATTTTAAAAGGGTAAGACAAATTTGTTTTTGTTTTTATTTTTATTTTGATTTCATTCTCATGACCATGCTAAGCTCCTTTAAATAAAATGAAACTCAATGTTAATACTCTGGAACTAAAATGTGCATAATGCGAAGGAAATTTCGCAATGATATGCATTCCTTTACGTACATGTGACTAATATATCAGTTTACTACATAAAACTGGCAATATAACTATAAATCATTTGATGTATTTCTTATTACAATCTAGCAGGAATAAGACAAGATCGATAATAGTGTGTTATTTAAATGTATGATAGCATGCCATACTGAATTAAAGCATGTATCGATGCAGAAGGAAGTCACACAAAATATTAATTAATTAATAAAAATTGCTTTGTTAGTATCAGCAATTAATTAAAAAAATTGTATTTAAATAATAAAGATTTTACATACCATTTGAAATTGTATCCGCTATTCTTTTTACCGAAGACTGTATATGTAGGGTTCCGCAATTCAATTTGATATTTGAATATTTGATTTAAAAATCAAATCAAATACAAATTTAAATTTATATTTGATTTGATTTGATCAAATTCAAATCAAAGAATGATTTATTTGATCAAATCTAAATTAATGTTTAATTTGATTTAATCAAATTTAAATCAAGTATTCAAATATTTGATTTGATACAAATTAATTGTAAAGCTATTTTAAAAGCTTTAGTGATGGATTTACTAAAAAAACTATAGTAAAAAATGCCTTCATAACTTCAGAAATGCTTTTTTTTACTAAGAAACCTATAGCAAAAGGCACTTCTACAGCTTTAAAAATGCCTTTTTACTAAAAAAAAAATATAATAAAAATGCTTTCACAGCCTTGGAGATGTTATTTTACTGAGAAAAAATAATAAAAACGTCTTTGTAACTTCAGAGATATTATTTTACTAAAAAAAAATAGTAAAAAATGCCTTCGCAACTTCAGAAATATTATTTGACTAAGAAAACATAATAAAAATACCTTTATAGCTTTGAAGATATTTTTTTACTAAGAAATCTAATAAAAAACACATTCGTAGTTTTGGAAATATTTTACTAATAAAATGGTTTTAAAACTGTGATAGCAGTTATTACTAAGTTTTTTAATAAAACTGAAGTTACAATGGTGATTATTACTAAGTTTTCTTAGTAAAACTGAGACTATAGAGTTATTTTGCTAAGTTTTCTTAGTAAAACTGAAGCCACAAGTTGTTTTACTCAGTTTTTAATAGTAAAAATTTACCTGTTACTAAACTTATTTGTAAAAGCTATCTTTGAATTTTTTTAGTGTAATTACTAATAATTTTCTTAATTAAAACTTTAAAATAACTTTATTTTAATATATTATTGTAAAATTTAAAAAAAAAATTATATTTGATTTGATTTAATTTAATTTAATTCGATTAAATATTTGATTTGATTTGATTTGATTTAACAAATATTTGATTTAATTTTATTCAATTTGATTAAATCCAAATTGATTTAAATTGATTCAATCAAATATTTGAGTTTGATTTAATTTGATTTGATTTGAGAAATCCTAACAATTACACATGATAAAACATATGCAATTATTAATACTTCATTATTTGGGATTAATTTAATTATTAGAAATAAAATACTACAGCCATTATAAAAGATTGGAAAAGTTTTTATTGTAAAAATATTAAATACAAATAATTTAATGCATTTTGATAGTAATAGTGTTAGTATAATACTAGGGAACGGGATCCGTTCAAAGTTTGAAGCATAGTATGGTATATAAATTATAATATCATATTTCACATGATTAATTATTTTGTAACATAAAAGACATAACATGTGATAACATAAACAAAATGTCATTGATTATCAGGCTTGCCAAATTTGGATGGACAGAATGACCTTGCATTTGAATGTCATAGTAGTAAAGTGTTCTTCACTATACTTCAGACAATTAGTTATATACGTAATATTATGAATTTAATTTTTTTAATTATAAATTTGTTTTTGATCATCATAAATTCATAGTAATTTGTATTAAAATTTATTTTTATTATTTTATAGGTAATAAAAAATGGAGTATTGGCAAAATTTCAATAAATAAATCCATTTTAACCAACTGTCATTATATTACATATCAGCTTAGTTTAACTGAAAAGGATTTAGCTAAAGATGTTTTGTATTTTAAGAATTATGAAGTAATAATAAAGGAAATTTATGCTTATTTTGACTTATCACATCAATAATGATAATATTTAAAATTATTTTAAACTTTGGATAAAGAAAATCCTAATTATCAATATTACATATTGTTAGTACCCGATGGTTTTTACTTTCCAATGCTATTTTAAATTTACACCAAATTATCTTTTCAGTAATTGATGTGCTTGAAGATGATGCAATTAATAATACATGTAATAAAACATAACAGCAAGCTCAAAGGTTATATAAAGATATTAATACAGAATTTATATTAGTAATAAAATTTTTTGCAGATATTTTGTTTATTTTTAGCAATTTGTAAAAAGTGTTTTAATCTGATTATGTTACATTATCTAATATACAAATGCAATTAAATGTAATAATTAATTCAATTATAACAGAATTTATTAAAAGTAGTAATGATTCTGATGATGTAGATTATATTTTACCAATCAATAGAAACCATTTACAAATATATATGTCTGATATTATTGAATCTAATATATTACCAGCAGCATTCAAAGATATTTATTACTGCATTAGTAATGAATCTATACCTTAGATTTTCAGATTCTGGAATTTATAATGCTATGAAAATCTTTGACTTTTCTTAAATTCAACAAATTTAAAAGAAATGGTAAAATATAGCAAAAATGAAATCAAAATGTTAGGAGATTTTTTTATGGAACTTCTAAGCATCAGAATAATTAAAATTTTTTTGCTAAAGTTAATAAAATTATGCTTATTCAAGAATAGCGAGAAGTAAAATTACTTTTAAAAAATTATCAAGAATTTGATATTGTAGATGAATAGAGATAGGTTTTCAATTTTTAATTCTTTATCCAAATTTAGAAAAAATAATTAACTATTCATTAATTATACCACTTTCCAATAGTAATGTTGAGAGAATATTTTCTTAACAAATTTTATCAAAACAAAAGTATGCAATCAAATGAAACTTAAACTTTGAATTCTTATATTATAATTATTAGAAATAGATCTGAATTTAAAGATTTTAATTTTAAAAAGGCATTTGATATATGGCAAAGACTTCTAAGACATATTTAATAAATAAAATATAAAATTTTAATTCAAATTTAATAAAATTTATTAAATATAATAATTATAAATATAATTTTTTTTTATTTCTTTTTTTATTAATTTTGCAAATATTAAAATTATACCACAAGTAAACAATTAAATTTAAAAGCATAATATACAATTAAATTTAATAACCTATATCTAAGCTACTTTTTTAGTTACAGGTATGTATGTAAAAAAATTTGAATTTTAGATACTGGTTTTTACTATGTTTTCTTAATAAAATAATATCTCTGAAGCTGCGAAAGTTTTTTCTACTATGTTTTCTTAGTAAAAAAAACATTTTCATAAGCTACAAAAGCATTTTTTACTATAGTTTTCTTAGTAAATACTACCTCTGAAGCTTTGGAGATGACTTTACTATTGATTCAAATTAAATCAAATATTTAAATACTTGATTTAAATTTGATCAAATTGAATTAAAGATTAATTTGGATTTGATCAAATAAATTATTCTTTAATTTGATCAAATCAAATCAAATATAAGTTTATATTTGTATTTGATTTGATTTTCAAATTGAATATTCATATATCAAATTAAATTGCGAAATTCTAATAATAATCATCATATGCTAAAAGCTTTGGGAAAGAAATATATTTGCTATAGTTATAATATGACTTTTTCAATTCAGCATCTTAAAGTTAGAAGAAAATACTATAATTTTTGATCAGATTCTTAAATCATAATACTTCTACTTTAGCATAACTAAGCTTTTTTGAATACTTTTAAAAGATAGCAATTAATTTTTACTATTTGAGAATGTAAGACTTACCCTCTATTTCTTAGTTTTGCTATGTAAAACTTATATAAAATAAATTGTAAATAGAAATCAAGAATCTATAAAATTTCAACAGAAATAAATTGTGATATTTTAAATATCTTTTTCTATTGGATCCTCAACTAAGATGCAAGATATATTAAAAGATTAACATACACTATACCTACATCTCAAAATATATGTGAAAAATATTTTAACACATTCATCTGTTACAATAAATGCATTTCTAATATAATATAATAATTTATTTATTATAATAAGAAATTTGACCTTTTCTTCAATAATGACATTATATTTCAAGTTATGTTTTAACCATAATTAATATAGTTACTAAATTCAGAATTATAACTAATATATAAAATATATAAAAAAAGTCTTATAAAAATACTTTGAACTTGTAATTAACTATTATTGAAGAATTGTAAAATATGTATATTCTTGAGTAATGTTGACATTTGATCAGCCAAAAAATTTTTTGGCTAACAAAATTTCTGTTTAGATTATAAAATTTTTGGCTATTGGTCAGGTTAAATTGCTAATGCTATCCTTAAGTAATTGATTTTTTAAAATTATAACTTTAATGTTATTTCAAAGTATCATGAAATTTGAGAATCAAGTAATTAGAAACAATTATGACCCATTGTTAAAATTCTTAAAGTGATGTTATTTGTGATTTCTTTTACAACAATATTATTTGGAACTGGTATATCATTATCTTTGAAATAAATTCTTGCAATGTTAGGACTTTCATTTCAATTCTCATATTAAATGTTGTTACACATATGGATGTCTCTTATATTATTTGTTATGTATAAGAAACTGTTACTGAATACCATTTCTAGAACATTATAATAAAAAATATTTATAAATATATTACATTTATACTTTTAAACCTTTCAAAGGTGACTCCAATAGTGCTTCCAATATTTTAAGAGCATATTACTGGAATTAGTAGTAAAATTAGAAATAATTTTTGTATTAAAAATATTTACCAAACATTATTAGATAAGTTTAAAGTTAAAAACATTCATTTACTTGATTGTTTAGCCTGCATTATAGAACCTGGCCGAAATTAAACGTGTGACAAATAAGGCACTGCGTGACAAATTAGTTAGTGTCACGTGTGGTTGAAAAATATCATCCATTGAAACGCGAAAAAGAACGGTTAGAATTTTTAAGTTCTTTGAAAAGTAAACAGTGTCAAATTACTATGCATATTAAGCAGGTACATTTTGCTTTTTAACCTTAAATAGCAAGTTTTATTAAAGAAATTCCGACTTAAAATTTCGTTATTTCAGATTATTATACAAGGCTTCAAGTCTTATAAAGAACAAATTATTATTGAACCCTTTAGTCCTAGGCATAATGTTGTTGGTATGCTACTTTAATTTCCTACGCGTAAATTTAATCTTGAAGAAAGGCAAATAAAGCTATCTATTTTCATTTACATATAGTTGGTAGAAATGGATCCGGAAAAAGTAATTTCTTCGCTGGTGAGAAAAATAAAGTAATGAATCGAAAATTTCTTATTTTATTATTATTATAATTTTATAATTATTCTAGCAATCCGATTCGTGTTAAGTGATGCATATACAAATATGGGTCGCGAAGAGCGTCAGGCTCTTCTCCATGTGAGTTTTTTTTTTGGTTTATTTGCTAAGCGTAATGAATTATTTCGAATTTAATAATTTAAATCTGACATAATTATTGATATATTGATATTGGTCGATTTGTGAACATATGGTTAGGAGGGAACCGGACCTGCTACTATGTCTGCTTATGTTGAAATTATATTTGATAATAGCGACAATCGATTTCCTGTCTGTGATTATTTTTTTTTCTCATTACTTTTCTATTTTTGATAATTTTTGTTTAATTCCCACAATTTATTTACCGTATGTTTATTAAAAATTCTTATAGACTGGTAAAGATGAAGTGGTTTTGCGTCGTACCATAGGGTTGAAAAAAGATGAATATTCATTAGATAAGAAAAGTGCAACGTATGTCACAAATAATATTTGAAAACGTTCGTTTTATTTCTGTGAAAATAACATTTTTGAATTTATAGAAAAACAGATGTAATGAATTTACTGGAAAGTGCTGGTTTTTCACGTTCAAATCCTTATTACATTGTTCCACAAGGGAGGGTACGGCAATTTTTTTTATAGCTTATTAAAATTTGAAAATTTTATACAAAACAAAAAAAATAATGTAATATTAACCAATACTAATTTATATATTTAGATTACTGCATTGACAAATGCGAAAGATCCAGAACGATTACAATTATTAAAAGAAGTTGCTGGTACTCGTGTATATGAGCAGCGCAGAGGAGAAAGTATGAAGATTATTGAAGAAACTGGTAATTCTTGGTCATATTAAATCGAATATAATTTAATTTGAGACCAATCAACAACACATCAAATCATATTATTTATTTTTTTAAAAAAAAGATTCCAAGCGATCTAAGATTGAAGAACTTCTAAGATACATTGAGGAACGTCTTGAGGAACTTGAAGAAGAGAAAGAAGAATTAAAAAACTTTCAAGATATGGATCGTGAGAGAAGATGTTTAGAATATGCAATATATCATCGTGAACAATTAGATTTAAGGCGACAACTGGATGAGGTTTTATACGTTTTTTTGAGTCCATTATAATTTCGTTATGAAGCTAAATTTTTTTGAACCCGCATTTTAGATGGACGAATTACGTGAAAAAGGAGTACATGGCTCAAATAAACAAAATAAACTATTCAAAGATGATGCGGAAAGAATCACCGTAAGTTTTTTGTATAATTCTTTTTTTTAACAAAAAAAAGGATAAAGCATTATTTAACATCAATATTTTTTTCTAAGAAAATTGAACTCGAAATTGCAGAACTCATTGGAAAAATTGATCTTCTTAATGTTGAGAAAAGGGAACTTGATGAGGATATGCAAGAACAAATTAAGGCTCATGCCCAAATAGAATTGGCTTTAAAAGATATGGAAGATACAGCTAAACAAAATAAAGAGACAAAGGTATTAAAATTAATCTGATTTTGTTTTAAAGCAAATATAATTTTATTACACTAAACTCAAATTTATAAAATTAGAGAAGAAGAGAATATGAGCTTAAAAATATAGAGATGAATATTCGACAAAAAGAAGCAGAACTAGAGCAAGTAATACCAGCTTATGTTAATGAGGTTAATCAGGAAACTCAATTAAAAGAAGAGTAAGCAAAAGAGTGTTATTTATCTAAACATATGTATTCAGCTAAAATATGATTATTTTATTTACTCTAAGACTGGAAGACGCCGAACTGAAACGCCAAGCTCTTTACGCTAAACAAGGGCGTAGCTCTCAATTTAGAAATCGTACAGAACGAGACGCGTGGCTAGGATCGGAAATACAGGAGATTGATCAAACAATGACTACCCAGCAACAACAGGTAAATCCAGAAAAATTAATAGTTAGATTTTAGACATTGAAAATTAATAACATCAATTTTTATTGTCATAATTAGGCTAATTATTTGGAGTCTCAAATAAATGACTTAACAAAAAACATTGAAAGAGTTTCTGAGGAAATTCTAAATACTCGTAATAAGTTAGAACAGCGAAAAGTGAACCTAGAAGAAATGAATAATCAATATAGTGAATTGAAAGCCCAAAGGGATAAATTAACAGATCAACGAAAGTTTGTATTCATTTGTATCCATGATAAATAATACGAAAACCCTATCGAAATTGGACTAAATCGTTCTTTCTTGATTTAAGGGAGCTATGGAGAGAAGACGCACAGTTAGATACAAAAATAATAAATGCTCGTGAACAGTGGAAGAGCAACGAGAGAGCTTTGGCTAGTACTATGGACAAGGTATCTTGTTTCACTAAACGTAAAAAAGAAATAATTATGAAATCCTTTATTGATTTATTTTTTACTCTTTCAAAGAAAACAAACAATGGTTTGAATACTGTAAGAAGAATAGTTGAACAATATCATATAAAAGGCGTGTTTGGACCGCTTTATGAATTGATTGATTGTACAGATCCAAACAAGTGGACGGCGGTAGAAGTCACAGCTGGACAAAGGTTTTTAAAGAAATTTTAAATCATGTATATTTAATTTAATTTTAATATAGATATTAGTTTATTTCATGTAGTTGTGGACACAGATGATACTACAACTAAAATTTTAGAATCATTAAATCGCGAAAAGAATGGACGCGTCACATTTATGCCTTTAAATCGTTTGAGAACGAAATCTTTAAAATACCCGGAACCAAACGATAAAATGATACCTATGATGGAAGTTCTCAAATTTGATAAGACATATGAGAAAGCAGTCGATCAGGTAGTTTATAATGCATTATCGACGTCACAATATTGATGCTTTCAACTTATTCAAATTCTTGCGGAATAGGTATTTGGTCGGTCAGTTATATGTGTTGACTTAAATGTCGCGGCGACTTTAGCAAAATCTCATGACCTGGATGGAATTACGCTAGATGGTTTGTTTATATCATTATTTTTAAATCCGAATATTTTGAATTTTATCATTCAATGAAATAAATTTTATAATATTTAGGTGATCGTGTAGACCGAAAGGGAGCTCTTACTGGTGGTTATCTTGATGTTCGTCGCAGACGTTTGGAAGCCGCTACAAATTTGAAAAGATGGAGGAAAGAATACCAAGAGCTTGATAATCGTGCAAAATATGTGAAGAGCGAGATAACTCATATCCTTTAATAATTATTTAGAAAGTTTAATTTAAATTTTTCTTATTACATCTTTAAGTATTTCGTTGAAATAAATACATCTAGATCAACAGATTACTCAAATATTGAGTCAAATGCAACTCATTGAAGCCAGACGCCGACAAGCTCAGGATAGTAGGGATCCTCTATTGTTCAACCTCAATTCAAAAATGAAAGAGGAGGCAAATTTGAAAGAGTCTAAAATTGGAAAAGTATTTATTTTTATCGCATAGAAATAATATTCATTTTACAATGTTATTAATTTTCCTTAATTCTCTTTTAAAAGGAAAGGTCTCTTTTAAATCTTTATAGTAATATCAAGATGCTCAAAACACAGAAGGAAGCGCATCAGACGGAAATGATCACGGAACTTACCCAGACCTTAACTCCACAAGAACACAGGAAACTCGAAGAGTTAAATACAAATATTGAACAAATGCGAGAAAGGTTATCACGCTTTTCTACTTCAAGATCTGAGGTATGTAATTATTAAATTAGTAAACATTTGTTCATTAATTTATTCAATGACTTTTATTTATATTTTTAAATCAATATCATTGATTTATAAAATGTTAGCTTGAGGCAAGTAAAAACGTGTTTGAAAATGAACTGAATGCAAATTTGAAAAGAAGACGTGAAGAACTCTTGATTCAAGTTGAGAGTTTGACCACCATTGATGATGATCAAATACATAGCACTAAAGACGAACTAGAAAAACTAATTCAAGATATGTCGGAACGAGCTGAGGGTTGGTAATATTATTATAATCAAGACAAATAAATTATTTACTTGTTTAACAAAATATTATTTATACAGAAATTGAGATGGAACTAAAGGAATTTTCCGCTTTCCAGAGTGAAAAGAGTTCCGAGTTAGAAAAGCTAAAAGTATTAATAATTTGTTTATTTGAAGAATACATCAATTAATAGGTATTAAAAATATTTTCTTTATTCATTTAGACTGAACAAATTGAACGTCAGCAAACACTTGAACGACAACAAAAGAATGTTGATAAATTCCTTTCAAAAAGAAAATTAATATTACAAAAGAAGGAGGAGTGTACAAAAAATATTCGGGAACTTGGTGCATTACCAGACGAAGCATTCAAAAAATACGAAAACACTGATCCCACCAAGGTATGAAATTTGAATTATAATTTTATATATAAAAATTTTTAATTTATTTATACGTCGGATTTCTTTCTTTATAGTTATTGAAATTATTGCATAAAGTTAACGAAGAACTTAAGAAATACAGTCACGTTAATAAAAAAGCTTTTGAACAATACAATAGTTTCACCAAACAGAGAGATACTCTCTCTAGGAGGAAGGACGAATTGGATCAATCCAAGAGGGTAAATAAATAGGAAATACTAGTTTACATTTTTTCATTGATTGTTATTATCTTGAATCAAATAATTCTTAAAATTTTAAAGGCAATTAGTGAATTGATTACTGTATTGGATCAACGAAAAGATGAGGCGATTGAACGTACTTTTAAACAGGTGGCGAAATACTTTTCCGAAGTTTTTGAGAAATTAGTGTCCGCCGGGCGTGGACAATTAATTATGCAAAGAAGAATTGATAGGGTATCAATATTTTTTATTCTATATTGTCAAACTTTTGGATTATGTTGTTATTTAATTGATAAGATACCCATAATCAGGATTCGGAAGAGGAAGATGATGACAATGATAACGAAGGATCTGTTGTAGATAGCTATACAGGTGTTGCAATAAAGGTATGAAAATTTTGTTAGGTTGTTAATAATAATTGATAATTCTCACATTTATTCGTTTAAAAGGTCTCGTTTAATAGTAAAACTGACGAAGGGTTACGTATGCAACAATTATCGGGAGGTCAAAAGTCGTTAGTTGCTCTTACACTAATATTTGCAATTCAACAATGTGATCCAGCGCCCTTTTATTTATTCGATGAAATTGATGCTGCTCTTGACGCACAATATCGTACTGCTGTTGCATGTAATTAAGAATACATCATTTGTATTAATGCATTTTTTTCGTCAAATTTCTTACTGATATATTTTATTTTAAACTTTTGATTATTTAAAAAGCAATGATACATGAATTATGCGAGAATGGACAATTCATTACAACTACCTTTCGACCGGAAATGTTAGCTAACGCCGATAAATTTTATGGGGTGACATTTTCAAATAAAGTGTCACGTATTAGTGCTATAAGCAAAGATGATGCACTTAATTTCATCACACAGGTAAGGTTAAAACGAAGATTTAAACGAAGATTAATCCAAAATAAATTTTTTTTTAATCATTTAATTGATTAATTCCTTTTAAATATTAATAGGAACAACCGCAATAATTATAATTTCATCTATTATATTAACAAGGAAATGGAAGCGTTGTAACCATAATGATAGAACGCGTATTACTATTATTTTTATTATTATAAATGATATTGTGAAATTTTTCTCGAGACTCGTTCTCTTGAAGTAATTCATATATATTTATACTTTTTTTTTTTTTTTTTTTTTTTTAGTTATGCACAAATTTGCAAAGTTTATTAAAAAAATCTCCGGCATATAAAGGGCCGAAAAAATAAAAAATAATAGAAAAATAAATTAATCATTACTATGGGAAGACTTGAAATTTTTATCGCATATCACGCTTATTGTCCTGATTAAAATCCATATTTCTCTTAAAAGAAACTATATACGTTACTTAATCATAGTGATTGGATCATTCATTGTACCGCTATTTTTATAATAGACCTTCTTTGTATATTGTCTTTGTTTAAACCATGTGATTTTTATCCCTTAAGGGATAACGATAAGGATCCTTTCACATTCAAAGTTGAAATGAAATCATTTCTTTACGGAGTTTGTATTCTTAAAAAAAATGATTTTAACGATTGCTTTAAATTCTTCAAAATAAATAATTTATGAACATATGGTTTGAATTTGTGAAAAAATAAAAATAAAAAGTATAAATAATGAATCAAACAGATTAGAAGCTTTTTTTTTTTAAAAAAAAAAATACTTCTCTTACTCATTATAAGAAATGATACATCTTAATACTTGTAAACCTATTTTAAATAATATTTTGGATCGATTAGATCAAAACGACTTATTTTCAATGATTTTATTAAACAGACTGTTTTATAATATAGTTCTTGTTGTATTATACAAAAAACCAATATTCACAAATATAAAATCATTTGAAAAGTGTTCAACTACTTTAAAGAAAAGAAAAAATTATGCATCATATATAGTTCACCTTGATTTAACATTAATGTCAGAAGAACAACGATTAGAAATCACCGATCCAAAATTAATTCCTTTTATTTCTACTCAAGGTATTAGTAAATTGCAAGTATTAAATATTTTTGGATGTAGATTATTAACAAATGGATTTGCTAGATTACTAGCATCAAGTAATTTAATGGAATTAATTTGCCTTGATCTCGGACAATGCGTACACATTAAAGCTCCATTTATTTCACAAATTGTTAAAAATTGTAAAAGTTTAAAGTATTTAGGTATGCAAGGTATGAGGTTAGAACCTTTTGTTGTTTTCGGTGATGAAATAAAAGCTTTTGGTGGTGAAATTGTTTCTTTGAACGTTGATCAATTGGCTATTGATATTATTGAAAATCTCTCGGATTTAAGGTATTTTAAATTCGTTATAATCATTTGAATTTTTTTTTTTTTTTTATAAATTTAATTATATTTCTTTTCTTTGCAGAAGAATTGATGTTAGAATGTGCTTTGGTATAAATGATATTTTTCTTCAAAAACTTTCTTCTGTTATTTCTTTATCTTATAATTTGGAAATCTTATATACCAAATAATATTTTATTAAATGCATGTAGTTTTCCTTTTTTATTATTGTAATAATCATTTAATCTCTTTTCTCTTTATATCTAAATAAATTTATAAAAGGTTGGTTTACTTCAAATGAAATTGATTAAAAATCAAGTGAAATAAAATAACGCAATGAGAAAAAAAGCACAATTTTTTTTAAGATAAAAAAAAAATAGAATAATATGTAAGAATATTTTTCACTTGTAAAAGTGTATATTTAAAATTAATCCTATACTAGTCGAAAGTTTCATTATCAAAAACAATATATTTCTTATTTATGAACTTTCAGGGACGAATTTTTTATTTAACATATAATTAATAGTGAGAGACTTACAAGTCAAGCAGAAATTTTTTTCGCAATAAATTCATCAGGTAACAAGTTTTGGAATATTGCCCTAAAAAGTCGCCCGGTTTTCTGTGATAGACAAAAAATAGTTTGGCTTTATTTGTATAGATGATTCCGTTTAATCACCGTTCGATCATTTTTCATTTTATCACATATAATAAACACCGTAAAAATGATTTTTATTTAAGTTAATTAGCTCCGATTGGA